CTTTCCAAGTCTGTGAAGAATTGTGTTGGGATTTTGATGGGGATTGCATTGAATCTGTAGATTGCTTTTGGTAAGATTGCCACTTTTACTATGTTAATCCTACCTATCCATGAGCATGGGAGATCTTTCCATTTTCTGATATCTTCTTCAATTTCTTTCTTTAGAGATTTAAAGTTCTTATCAAAAAGGTTCTTCACTTGTTTAGTTAGTGTTATCCCAAGGTATTTTATATTATTTGTGGCTATTGTAAAGGGTAATGTTTCTCTGACTTCTTTCTCAGCCCTTTTATCATTTGAGTATAGGAGGGCTACTGATTTTTTTGAGTTGATCTTGTATCCTGTCACTTTACTGAAGAAGTTTATCAGCTATAGGAGTTCCCTGGTAGAATTTTTGTGACCACTTATGTATACTATCATATCATCTGCAAATAGTGAAAGTTTGACTTCTTTCTTTTCAATTTGTATCCCTTTAATTTCCTTTTGTTGTCTTATTGCTCTAGCTAGAACTTTAAGTACTATATTGAATAAATATGGGGAGAGCAGACAGCCTTGTCTTGTTCTTGATTTTAGTGGAATCGCTTTGAGTTTCTCTCCGTTTAATTTGATAGTGGCTGTTGGCTTGCTGTAAATTGCCTTTTTTTTTAATGTTTAGGTATATTCCTTGTATTCCTAAAGTTGCCCATTTTAACTTAGTGTACACTCCAATGCCACTAATTACATTCACTGTTGTCAAATCACCTTCACTGTTCCCAAAACCATCTTTCATTACTCCAGCAGAAACTTTGTCATCATTAGGCTTTAATGCCTGACTCCCCATTTCTCACAGCTCCTGATGACCACTTTTCTTTTACCCACATTTATTTATGTGGGTGGAGGCATATGTGCAACAGCACAGTTGTGGAGGTCAGGGGAGATGTGAGAGTCGGTTCTTTCCCTCTACTATGTGAGTTACAGGAATTGAATTCAGGTCATCAGGCTTGGAGGCAAGTGCCCTTACAAGCTGAGCTGCTCTCATTGCCCCACCCCCACCCCCAAGACAGGGGTTCTCTGTAGCTCTGGCTGTTCTGGAACTCACTTTGTTGACCAGGCTGGCCTGAAGTCATAGAGATCTGCCTGCCTCAGCCTCTGGAGTGTTGGGATTAAAAGAATGTGCCACAGGGCTGAAGAGATGGCTCAGCAGTTAAGAGCATTGGCTGTGGCTGCTCTTCCAGAGGAACCAGGTTTAATTCCCAGCACCCATATGGCAGCTCACAACTGTCTGTAACTCCAGTTCCAGGGGATCTGACACCCTCACACCAATGCACATAAAATAGTGTTAAATAATTAAAAAAAAAGAAAATGTGCCACCACCACCCAGCCTTTTTGTTTTTTTGTTTTTGTTTTTTGAGACAGAGTTTCTCTGTGTAGCTTTGAGCCTTTCTTGGAACTCACTCTGTAGCCCAGGCTGGCCTCGAACTCAGAGATCCGCCTGGCTCTGCCTCCCAAGTGCTGGGATTAAAGGTGTGTGCCACCACCGCCTGGCTTATTTTGTTTTTTTGAGACAAGGTTTCACTGTCTGAAAAAATTCAGGTTGGCCTCAACTTGAGATACTTTTTCCAGTTGCTAGGATTGATTCTAGGCATGTGCTGCTGTGCTTGGCTAAAGCGCTTTTCTGTCTATGAATTTGCCTTCCTAGGTATTACAGTCCTTTTGTGTCTGCTGTCTGGTTTAACATGAATTGTCAGGATCCATCTATGTTGTAGCACGTATCAGTACTCCTTCCTTCTTATTGCTAAATGATACTCCATTGGGTTATATACCACATTTGGTTTATATTTCCATCTGTTGTCGGTCCTTTGAGTTATTTTTGCTTTTGACTATTTTGAATAATGCTGCCAAGAACATTTGCAGAAAGCCCAGTGTATGCCTGTAATTCCAGGACATGGGATGCTGAGGCAGAAGATTTAATGTGAGGTCAGCCTGGGTCACATAGTACTAGCAAGACCCTGTCTCAAAAACAAAAAAACAAAACAAAAATTATGAAAACCTGAAAATAAAAAAAAAATCAAACACAATAAAATTGTGTGTAAGTTTTTGTGTATGGGTTGGAGATTTAGTTCAGTAGTAGAAAAAAATGAAGGAGTGAAAGGAAGAAAATAACAAAGAAAACATGTCTAAGAATGGGATTGGGTCTAGAACTAGAAGTGGAATTGCCGGGTCACATGGTAGTTCAGTTTAACTTTTTTCTGGTGCTGGGGATGGAGGTCTTCTGCTAGCTAGGAAAGTGCTCTACCCATGAGCTGCACCTACAGTCCTTTGTTGTTTTAAGATTGGGTATCTCCAGCACTCGGGAGGCAGAGACAGGCGGATCTCTTTGAGTTTGAGGCCAGCCTGGGCTACAGAGTGAGTTCCAGGAAAGGCACAAAGCTACACAGAGAAACCCTGTCTCGTGAACCCCCCCCCCCAAAAAAAAAAAGATTGGGTATCTATGTCATATATGAAGACCTTGAAGTCTTGATCCTCCTGCTTGCCTGGCATCCTGGGTTCAGGAACTCTGTCCATTCCTTTTAAGTGTGAATAGCTGTGGAACTGATTTCCACAGGCTATACCATTTTATATTCCTTACCAATATCTGTAGCCATGGAAATATATTGTGAAGACTATTTTTTGTTAAGGTATGTAAATGAAAAATAAATATAGTACAGATTGAAATTAATCGGGAAATCAATATATTTATACATTTCAGGAGGATGGACTCAGACAAGTTCTGGAGGAGATGAAAGCTTTGTATGAACAAAACCAGTCTGATGTGTAAGTTGTGATAATATCAATGTTTTAAAAATAAAAAATGAGCCGGGGGCTGGAGAGATGGCTCAGAGGTTGAGAGCACTGCTTGCTCTTCCAAAGGTCCTGAGTTCAATTCCCAGCAACCACATGGTGGCTCACTACCATCTGTAATGAGATCTGGTACCCTCTTCTGGCCTGCAGGGATATGTGCACTGTATACATAATAAATAAATAAATTTTTAAAAAAAAGATTTACTTTAAAAAATAAATAAATAAATAAAAAATGAGCCAGGTGATGGAGGTGCATGCCTTTAATCCCAGCATTAGGGAGGCAGAGGCAGGCAGATCTCTGTGAGTTCAATGCCAGCCTGGTCTACAGAGTGAGTTCCAGGACAAGCTCCAAAGCTACACAAAGAAATCCTGTCTTGAAAAACCATTAAACAAACAAACAAACAAATAAAATAAAATAAAAAATGAGATGTTAAAATCAGAACCTTTTATCTCTTTGGGGGATGTAATTTTTTTTTTTTTAATTTTCTGAACCTGATCTTACCCTGGTTGTACAAGTAAGCACAGCACTTGAACCTAAAGAAGTTTCTGCTGCTCTGTGGTTGGACAATGCTTCACATATGCTAGATGCTTAATACATCTTCATGATGTATTATGATGTATGACTTCTACGTTGAAAGAATTAAGGCAGATTTTAAAAGATGAGACAGGAGCAGATAAAGCCCACAATGCAAGTCAATACTTAGTTCTCACTTTTCGTTTCATTGACAGATGCCTTAGTGTGTTTGAAGGAGGAGGGTCCTCTGAGCAGGAACAGCGGTGATTTCTGACACCATGAGCAGAGTTTACTGAGAACTGGTATCACAAAAGGCTACCTACCACTTATCAGGTCAAGAGAGGGCTATAGAGTTACTGGATATTTAAGCAAGGCCTGGCATTTCAAACATTGGTGAATCTGGACTGTGTGAGCAGACTTCAGAGGCTGCCATCACATGGTAAGATTTACAAAAAAAAAAAAAGAGTGCTAAAAACTGGATAAAGCTGGGGTAGACCAGGGTGGTCTTGAACTCAGAGATCCATTTGCCTCTGCCTCTCAAGTGCTGGGATTAATGCCCAGTGGTAGTCAGAATCTTACCTAGAGAGGTCTGAGTTACTTGGATGTAGAAGTTAATAATATGATGATAAGATCTGTGAGGTATACAAACGATAGGAACACATTATATGTAGATAACAGAAAAATTTTTACCAATATAATGAGGACTGTGGTAAATGTGAGTCCGATATCAAGTCTTGAATGCAATTCTGCAAAGTTGTTCATTAATCCATTCAACAGACATACACTGAATAAATTTGCATTGATAAATATTTCTGGTATTTCCATAACTAACATAGCCTTGATTTCTTTTCGTGACCCTTACTGTTCAGGAGGCAGACACTATGACACTTTGCTCTAAAGAAAGGCTGCAAGAGAGAATAATGCTAGGAGCCAATATGAAGTATAACTGAAACTGAGGAACTGGGAGTTTTCTCTGAGGAAAAGATATTTCAGCTGAGGCTTCAAGAAGAGGGTTTTAGTCACTCAAACAATCAAGGTGAGCAAAGAGCATTCAGGCAGTAGCTACAGCATATGTTAAGGATCTTAAAGAGGCTAGTCCTCAGGAAACCACATTTAAAGACCAGTGTGGCTGGAACTTAGCAAGGAGAAGAGGGTGTCATCAGATGAGAGAATGGGTGGGGGGTAGGCAGTCTGTCTTAAGGTCATCCTGGCTGCTATATGTATTTAACAAGCAGAGAGAATGACACAGTGGCCATTCAGGTCATTGACTACAATAAACAGAATAAAGATATATTTTAGAGTTGGCCTATTAGGTCTTGGTCCAGTAAGGGACTGAATTTTCCGTACTCCATGTATTTGTACTCTGCAAATTAATGATCCAGAAATTTGTCCCTTACTCTGTTAAATTCTCACTGGGGAGGTGATCATTGTTACTAGTTTCTGATTAAAATTATCTGTGAGGGGGCTGGAGAGATGGCAGTGGTTAAGAATACCAGCTGCTCTTGAGAGCACTGGGTTTGATTCCCAGAACCCACATGGCAGCTCACAATGATCTAAAACTCCAGTTCCTGGGGATCTGATACCCTCTTCTGGCCTTTGTGGGAACTCCATGCATGTGGTACAAACACCTATACAAATAAAAAGATTTTTTTTTTCCTCTAAGTTTTTTTTCAAGATTTTTTTTTTCTCTAAGTTTTTTCTCTGTGTAGCCCTGGCTATCCTGGAACTCTCTGTTTAGACCAGGCTGGTCTTTAACACAGAGAGTCACCTGCCTCTTGAGTGCTGGAATTAAAGGCATGTGTCATCACCACCCAACCCAAATAAGATTTTGAAAAAAAAAAAAAAAAAATAGGGCTGGTGAGATGACTCTGTGGGTGGAGGTACTTGCTGTTAAGTTTGATGGTTTGAGTTAGACCCCCAGGACTCACATGGTAAAAGGAGAGGATGAACTCCTTAAAGTTGCCCTCTGATCTGTTCTATACACAAACTGCATGCACACATAAATGTAATAAAAATTTAAAAAATAACTTGTGAATAAAGGGGAACCCTTCAACTAATCATGTGTAAATGTGAAGAGTTTTATGTGTACTTTCTACATTATTCTGCTATTAAATTTAATCTTTTGAGAAAAGATCTCATTTTGTAGTTCCGTCAAGTGCTAGGGTTATAGATACGGTGCCACCATGCCCTGCTAGTCCAAATGTATTATATTGGTTTCTTATAATCTGGGGGTGATATCTTTACATTGTAAGCAGTTGTAAGGAATGTGGAGACTTAGCCTGACCTCCACAGAGTGGCAGAAGTTTGTAGAATGGCTCTCTGTGGTCAGGAAGAAGCTTAGTGCTAGAGCTCTCGTCTAGCATGTGTGGGGCCCTGGATTTGATCTTCAGCACTACAAGAACAAAACCTAGATTTTCTGATAAATACAGGGTCTCACTAGGATGACTTTAACTCAAGAGATTTCTCTGACTTTGCCTCCTAAATGCTTGGGATCAAAGGTGTGTACCACTGTACCCAGTTCTGTTTTTTTCTTTTAATATATTAATGAAAGCACTGGCATGGTGGTAGCTACTCTGCTCGGGTTTACTGCTACTAACTTTAAATGGACAAAGCAAGCATGTATGTCAGTCATTCTGGCTTTGAAACTTTTACCTACACTGGAATATGTTTCTTGCTCTTTCTATGTCCTTACCAGGAATGAAGCAAAGTCAGCTGGACGAGGTGATTTGATACCAACCATCAAATTTCGGCATTGTTCTTTGTTAAGAAATCGACGCTGCACTATAGCATACCTGTAAGTGCCTTGGGTTTTGCTTGGAGTGTCAGGGAACCTAGGAAGGTTTTTGATGTAGTTTGGTTTCTCAGTTGGTAGCAAGGAAGAAAGAAATCTTCTGTGGTTCCTTTTTATGTTTTTTTAAAATTTTTTAAAATTATGAAACATTAGTGTATTCATAAAAAGTGAAAACAATATAACTTGCTCTGTAGAACCTAGGGCTTAGACCTTAGTGTTTTGCCACATTTACTTCATTGCATATTGTTTTTATGCTGCACTAGTTTGGATTACCATGGCAGCTCACCACTGAATTCTTAACGCTTTTTGTCTCTAAGCAGTAAGGATCTCTTGGCTTTTGTAACCACTCTATATTGTCACATTTGGAGAGTTAAACAACTTTCTAAAATTGAAACAGGGTGTCATTATGTAGTCCTGGCTGGCCTTGAACTCACAGTGATCCTCCTGCCTCTACCTCCAAAGTTCTGGGATTAAAGGCATTTGCCACCGCACCAACAATCTAAACAGTTTTATGCATGTTTTTTTTCCATTGTCCCAAAGATGTCTTCTTGTTGGTGTCTTTCTAATCAGTAGCCAAACAAAGTCCCCATGTTCCATTTAGGTTTTGGTGAGTCTTGAGTCTTCTCATCAGAATGACTTTTGACCCCTTTTATTCTTATACCATCTTATACATCTTAGGTATGACCGGTTGCTTCGGATTAGAGCACTCAGGTGGGAATATGGCAGTGTCTTGCCAAATGCTTTACGATTCCACATGTCTGCTGAAGAAGTAAGTTAGCACTATTTAAATGTATAAAAATGCTATCTATGTTCTCTAACAGTAGTTATCTCTGTTTCTCTTTTTGTCTTTAGTATTCAGCAATTTCTTTCTTTCTTTTTTCTTTTTTTCTTTCTTTTTTTTTTTTTTATTATTTAAACTGGCCTAATGGCTCAGGCTTCTTGCTATCTAGTTTTTTTGGGGTTTTTTGTTTGTTTGTTTGTTTTTTCCTTTTATTTTATTTTACAATACCATTCAGTTCTACATATCAGCCACGGGTTCCCCTGTTCTCCCCCCTCCCACTCCCTCCCCTTACCCCCAGCCTGCCCCCTATTCCCACCTCCTCCAGGGCAAAGCCTCCCCCAAGGACTGCGATCAACCTGGTAGACTCAGTCCAGGCAGGTCCA